TTTGTGTCAAAACTTGCATATGACCTGTCATAAAAAATCTAATACTGCTTTTTCCATTGATATGAAAATGCAGTACTCGAACTCTGACACTGTAGTTTATGTTGGTTGTGGAGAAAGAGGAAATGAAATGGCAGAGGTATATAGTTTCTCTCTTGTTTAATTAGTTTATTTAACATCTTAAAAATACATAACCTAGATATCAACTACAGGTGCTTATGGATTTCCCTCAATTGACGATGACACTGCCAGATGGCAGGGAGGAATCTGTTATGAAGCGTACTACACTGGTGGCTAACACCTCAAATATGCCTGTGGCTGCTCGTGAGGCTTCAATTTACACAGGTCTCCATCTGTAAAACTGTTAATACATTTACTCTCTTGGAACAGTTCTTTAGTAACCCGAGTTGCATACAGCAGGATGGTTCACCATTAAGATCGTAGAAATTATATTATTAGAGAGTAGGAGCCCAGAGTCATTGCTGACACAGATTCTTGGGATTATTTTCTCGACTGTTATTAAATTTCAGATAGCACTTCTTAATCTGCCTTTTGATTAATTTAGACTTCAATTACGCATGCAAGAAATCCTAACCCATCACTTCTTTACATTATTACCCTTGCCGATATTCTTCTCATCTTTTCAGTCCCACCATTCACAACTAGATCTGATATACTTTTACAGGTTCTGCATTTTTATTTACGTGCTTTGGGTTATCCTAAACTTTTATCATATCAATGCATGGGTTCCTTCAGTTGCTAAGGGAACTGACTTTGTGTATTTCTACTGGTTCTACATTTGTATAGATGTGTGTGGTAATCCTAGGTTTTAATCTTATCCTTTTGTATATCCACGACACTTTAGTTCTTCAGAATAAAGCAGGTTTCTGTTTTATGTATTTGATAATTATTCTTATGTTTGTTTATATGTGGATGTTCAGGAATCACTATAGCCGAATATTTCAGAGATATGGGCTATAATGTCAGTATGATGGCAGATTCAACATCTCGCTGGGCAGAAGCATTGCGTGAAATTTCAGGTCGATTGGTACGTATCCTCAGATTTCTGTCACATTATTTAAATATCTTGAGTTATTGGATCACCATCTTAGTAAAATCGATCCTTGGTGCCTGAGTTGGTCCTGTAATTATGAAGACAGGGAAATGAAACTAGATTTTATAATTGAAATGCTTGTTCAAATGAAAGGAACAACAACGACAAACTAAGCCTTGTTAATAAAGGAAACAAAAGCTAACAATGTTAAGTGCTTAATAATTATCGGAGTACGTGAACTGGCTACAAATTTGTCATCTGTGTAATCATTTGTCTTCTTTACTAGCTTCGTTGGATTGAGTTGACTAAAGTGGTGGCCCCTCCTGTCTCGTGCACAAGCATAAGAACATTTTCATTCTGTGTGCCACGTCGATGCTTATCTTCGAACTTCACAGACACTCTTTGTAACCATTTTAGGATACCTGGTTGCACACTATCTCACCTGAATTGCTCCATCTATTCCATTGAGAGGTTTATTTTCAAACCCCTGTTCCAGGAGGCACCTTTATAGTCTTGATCTTGAAAGTTGAACCATTTGTGTAATCATCTGTCTTCTCTGTAGTTTTGCTCTATTTGAAAGGTTTCGTTGGATTGAGTTGGCTAAAGTAGTGGCCTCTCTTGTCTCATGCACAAACATAACAGACATTTTTGATTCTGTGTGCCACGTTTATACTTCTCTTTGGGCTTCAGAGTCGCTGTTTGACACCATTTTAGGATACCTGGTTGCACATTATCTCACCTGAATTGTTTCATCTATTCTCTTGAGGAGAGGTTGGTTTTCAAACCCTGTTTCTAAGAGGCACCTCTATAGTCTTGAAAGTTGAACCAACAATGATCTTTCGGCTAACTTCGCCTCCTCCATCCTAAGGGAAGAGCAAGGGTTAGTACAAGAATATTTGTATGCTGTCCAACCACTATGCGCAATTGCATTTTACTGCGATTGAGAGAACGAATGAATTTTACTTCAGGTCTCTTTTGTTTCTTTAGTAACTCTCATCATCTAGCAAGTTGCAAAACTGGATCTTAGTTTAAATGTGTCATGGTGTTGAACTGTTGTGCAGGCTGAGATGCCTGCAGATAGTGGATATCCTGCTTATTTGGCAGCACGTTTGGCATCCTTTTATGAGCGTGCTGGTAAAGTTAAATGTCTTGGTGGGCCTGAAAGAAATGGTAGTGTCACCATTGTTGGTGCCGTTTCTCCTCCAGGAGGAGATTTCTCTGATCCTGTTACATCTGCTACACTCAGTATTGTTCAGGTAAACAGTCTGAATAGCTCACAAGCTCATCTTCCATTTGCACGCCATGCTACTTATTTTACTTAGTTGCAATATTTCAGGTTTTCTGGGGTCTAGACAAGAAATTGGCACAGAGGAAACATTTCCCATCTGTAAACTGGCTTATTTCTTACTCAAAGTATTCAGGGGTATGGTTTTGATTTATTCAGATTTATGTTTTAAATTTTCCACTTGTTCTGCTTGTCAAAAACTCTTTGCACGTGCTGAAACTTTTGCTTGCATTCTCAGGCTCTGGAATCCTTCTACGAGAAGTTTGATTCGGATTTTATTGACATCAGGACAAAAGCTCGTGAAGTTCTGCAAAGAGAGGATGATTTGAATGAAATTGTGCAGGTACGTGTTATTTTAGTTTCTGAATGTCCTTTTGAATTACCCTTCTTCTGAGTTACTCATAGGCACGATGATAGAATATCGTAATCATTAAGGCTTAGTATTTTGTCTCCTTTAAAAAGATTGTTCAGACTTGATTAGAAAAAAAAATACTTCTGAAGAGATTGTACAAAAGATGCACTCTTTTAAATATATTGTTTTCTTGTACGTCTGCTATTATCAACAAGATGAATTCGTAGTCGATCAGGCATTGACCAGAGAAAGTATTTCTAGCATTCAGGTCTGTCGCCCCTTATTTTTCTTGCAGTAACTCAGTAGCCTCTGCTATCTTGTGTAGAATACCACTGTATTTGAAATTGTTTCATTATCTGTCTCGACCTGTTTTTTCTGGTTATATCAAAACAATTCATAATGCAAAAGGAGGCAAAATGAAAAGCACTACCGATGTGGCAAACTTTTATGTGAAGCAGATGTATATTGTATTTGAAGTAAGGGCTTTTTTTTTTTTGTTCATTGCAGCTAGTTGGAAAAGATGCTTTAGCTGAAACAGATAAAATTACCTTGGAAACTGCAAAGCTTTTGAGAGAGGACTATCTTGCACAGAATGCATTTACTCCGTCAGTCACTACCTAACTGTCCTTGAGATTTCACTCGATTTATTGGCTTCAAAACTTATCTGAATGCTTCTTTGTCAACAGATATGATAAGTTCTGTCCATTCTACAAGTCTGTTTGGATGATGCGCAATATTATTCATTTCTACAATTTGGCCAATCAGGTAGATCAAGTCCCGTTTCTCAGGCGCAATCTCACTTCAAATTTAAGCTTTGATTCTTAGATGACGTGTTTCCTCGTGCAGGCTGTTGAGCGAGGAGCTGGTATGGATGGCCAGAAGATAACTTACACTCTTATTAAGCATCGTCTAGGAGATTTATTCTACCGTCTAGTGTAAGTGAAATTACAGCAAATGACCTAAACAAATTTCACTAGTATAGTTGTTTTTAATGCTTCCAGTTTTGATCTTTCATTTCTTTTGATACTGCAGTTCTCAGAAATTCGAGGATCCAGCTGAAGGAGAGGAAGCCCTAGTCTCGAAATTTAAGAAACTTTACGATGATTTGTCTGCTGGTTTCCGCAACCTCGAGGATGAAACCCGGTAATCAAAATATTGGGATTTGTTTTAGGTTAGTGTTCTTCCATGGCAATGAAAAAACGATATGAAATTAAGTAGTTCTGTTTGGCCCATGTTCATTATGATATATTTATTTTGTATGTTTGTGGATGCCCTATATTTTTCTGTTTTTGAACTGTAATAAGAGGCATCAATGGGGAATTGTTTTTGTATTGATTGTTCATTTGTTCTCGACACTGAAATAAGTATTAGAATTTTGAGATGAGCAATGATTTTATATACCGATGCCCTATATTAATTGCTTCTTATTTCGCTTTTACTATTTCATTTTTGGTTGTTTTCGATTGCTCATCTTTGCTTTTACAATTTCTTTAGTAGTTTATCGTATTTCTTTTTCCAAGTTTCTTAACATTTGCGTATAGAATTTGGAAACTAATATTTCGATATGTCAATAATCAAAAGGCTAAAGTTCAAAATTGTTAAATTTTTAATAAAAATAAAAATTTATTTTCACATAAACATACAAATCATGTTAATTTGAATCTTTTTATCCAAGTGTTTACATGTCATATTTAATATTCAAATCACTTTTTATTCATACATTTTGAAGAACTTACAAAAAAAAATACTTCCCATTTATTAATCATTCATTTTAATTTATTTATAATTTAAATAGTTCCCAGATATGCTATTAATACATCAATAATGCTACTCAAATAGGATTTAAAAATAGGGTTATACAATACTACCCATTATTTAATCATTCATTTCAATCTATTTATAATTTTAGCCCTTGTTTGAGCCACATTATTTTCCTTAGAATGCATTTTTGAATAGTGTATTGATAGAAAATATATGGTTAAAAAATAAAGAAAATTTTTGTATCTATGTGTAATATCATTTTATTGAAGAATATGTGGTTAAAATGATGTCAAATCACCGTTTAAGAATATATATATATTTTTTGAAAAATGTGGCTCGAACATGGCCTAAATAATTGATGAACCCTATAATTGTAGCAAAACTCTTAATATATCCGTGTCAAACAATTTAGTTGATGTGACCATTAATAGAACAGCTAAATGAAGACGACACATCTCAACTAAGGAATTCGTCTAGGTGAACAAAAGTTCAAACATCGCTCTTTCAAAGTTTATATTCACACTTATCAAAATAAGCTAAAATGCTGACAGTAGTTTCTTGAATATTTACTCCAAAATATCATACTACTGATTTTGCATATTCCCACAAGTTCAATAACATTTCCTTGTAAATGAAGTTCTTCAATTTCAAAAGCCAACATTGAATAGGAAGCAAGTCTTAATTCTCCAAAAGAACAAAAAGATAACAAAGTCTAGAGTCACATTACAAGGCATCATGCTTCCAACATAAGTGATTTTACATAACATCTGACTTCAGACAGGTAATCTTGCAGTAGTCAACCAGGTCCAACTTTAGGAATGTCATAATGTTCGCTCATATTTGCTAGATACTGGTTGAAATCCTCAATACGGTCACGGTGCGATTTATTAGATATCTTTGCCAGTCTATGCACGTCGATTTGATCCCTTTGCTCCATGTAGCGTCTTTCTGCTGGGGTAAGATTATCATCCCAATTAGCACCATTTCTATTTTCAATCGATTTTTTTGCTTCATTGGTCTCTTCCTTGCTGGGATCAATTATAGCTTCTTCACTTCCACCTACATCACCAAGTAAATACATCATCAATGCAATTTCTATTCCCTGAAAGCAGATATGGAAAAGCAATACAAAATCTCATATCAATGAATTTCTAGAAAATCAACTGCAATAGCGATTTCAACGCTAAATAGATTCACATCAAATCAAACTGCCCTAATTTGCTCCCCATTTACAACTAAACATGGTTAAACATTTTTTACTACACATAAACTACTCATAGATCTATGGTTTCGGGTCGAATCTCTGCCCAAAAGAACAATGGATAATCATAACTCTCTTCAACTTGGTACTTAATGAGTTGTGCTTTTTAAGCAATCTGAAGAAGCATGACTAAATATGTTTGACATCGCACAAGTTAAAGGAATGTCAAGTACGGGTCATGAATTTCAAGGTTCAATACGTAGCACAAGTTCTTGGCAAGTGCGCCTAGCTTGATGGCCCAACCAGATGTTCTAAAACTGCTTTTAATGATCCTAAGTCTATAAATCAATTCAGAATATGAGATTCATACTCATTCTTGCATCATATATAACATTGACAATTAAAACAAAGACAAAACAATGATATATTGTCTATATTGTCTAGGAACAGATGATCACTTAACAGGTTGAAACTACTTAATAATAACCACTGTTCTAAAAGGCGCGCATTGGCAGCGCCTAGGTGTTGCCAATGCGTGATGCACAGCGGAAACGCTAAGCCAAGTGGTTGGCGCCTTATTTAGCATTTGACAGCAATCTTTGGTCCTTAATGCGCGCCTAGGCACGCATATTTATCTTCTTCTCCTTCTTCTTCTTTTTTTTTTTTTTTTAAATTTTAATTTTTTTTATTTTTTTTTTTTTTCCCTTTTTTTTTTTTTTTTTTTTTTAAATTTTAATTTTTTTTATACAATTCTTCTAAGATAAAACTTAAAAATTGATTTCTTCACTTTGTCGGTTCTAAATTCAAAATAGTCCCTTAAAGCTTTGAACAAAAGAAATCTCCCAGAAATTCCAATTTATTTACTATATAATATTTACAATTAGAATTTATTTTTTATTGAAAACTTTGAAAAAATGTAAAAATTTCTTATAAATTTGTTTTAGATGTTAGGCAGGTATTATTTTTAATTATTAAATATTTTTCGATTGATTAAAATTTAAAATAATATTAAAATAAGAAAATGCATTTTTACATTTTTTTACGCCAAAGCTCGCCTGGCCTATAGCTTGGCCTCCACATATTGCCATGCATTACGCCTTTTAAAATACTGATAATAATTTAATTAACTCTTAACAAGTCTTAACAAGCATTTTCTCTCCACTATCCTTCCCCCAGACTTGTCCTCACAATTTAATTGTTATAAAGTAGAAACACCAATACTTCAACAGACAGAACTAAACAAACCAATGATTGGAGTAGATTGTCTACATGAGTTACCACTAATAAACTTAGATGAATTAAAAACATACAAGGACAAAGATAAATAAATGTGCCCCAACCTTATCTATTAACATTCCACAAATTGATTAAGTTGTTAGCCTAATGAAGGATTTAATCTCAGGCTTTTCCAGTTAGTTCAACACACCTGCTGGAAACTCATTTTCTGTGACCTCGGAAATTTGCTCGTACTGCTTCTTTTGCTTCTTCTTTTTCTTCACTCCACCTGCTTTCACATCCAGAGCCTTCCCCTTAAGTTTCAGCTTTCCACCAACAACATTATCAAATGAAGACATTTCTCCTGTGTAAAAGAATATTAACTATGAAAACAAACCTTACAGAAAAAAATATTGGTGTAAAAAAAAAATACGAGAGTCAGGCAAATACCAAGCAGGAATTTGTAGCAGAATCAATCGTTCCAGAGATGCGTATTTCACAGGCATAGCATAAACAATATATATTTGCAAAATCAACAGCCGTATACTTTTGAAAATCAATGACCCTTTACAGTGAAAAACATGACAAACTACTTATAAATGGATTAAGTTGAAATCCAATTCCACATAATGCCGTAGGTATTAATTCCAAATTTCCCAGTATTTGGGAGTTAACTAAATATGACTTCAAATTATGATAAAGTGTACATATATTTCTGCTTCTGCTAGAAAATTTTTGATTTAATGAAACTCCATCCTCTCATGTTAATTCAATGACACTTCGTGATATCGAAAAAGATACACAAATGGCAAATTTAGAACGAACTAAAAATACCATCACAACCAAGAGTAAAAAGTAAGGTATAAAAGAAACTTAAAAATTACGAACACGCAACGGAACAAATCCAACAATTTTTTTTTAATAAACTTAACTTTATTACGATAGATTCGTCAAGGGAAACTCAAATTCACACACAAACAAAAGTAAAAATAGACAAAATATTAGGGGAAATTAAATTGCATCTGCAATTACCTGAAACGATTTCGATAAAACTATAAACAAGGGACACAATGATCGGGATCTGAAAATTTTTCTAGGGTTTCATATCTTCTTGCGCGAGAGTATGGGCAACGCGATCGTTTGGATAATTGAATTGACTGAAATGTATTTATTAAATTAAAGTACTTGTAATTAAATAACTGAATTTTAAAATAAAATAATTTTTTTGTTTGTACATCTAAAGGTAAATATCACAAAGTATTTATTTATTTTTTTTAAACATTTTCTGCTAAAAAAATTCAAATTACATTTCTTTTGCATATCTCCATTGAAGAATTTTTTGACCATTTTGAATATCTAAATCACAATTTACATATATTTTACATCACAATTGAAGATACTCTAAGCCTCTATTTGATTCTCATTATCTGAAAATAAAAATGAGGGGAATAATATTTTTTAGAAAAATGAGTGGTTAAAAAAGAACGAAAAGTTTTCAATTTACGTATAATATTATTTTATGGAAGATTGTGTAGTTGAAAATATGAGAGAGAAAAATGGAATGTAATGTAATTTAATTTAATGGGAATCAAACGGGGGCTAAAACTTTAAATAGGAATATAAGTTGAATTAGATCAGAATAAAATTAATAATTTATATTTTTACAGTAAAATACGGGATGTTTTCTTTAAAGTTTAAATATGAGGAAAGCAAGTTATTTAAGCTTGAAAGAAAAAATATGAAATAAATTTATTTGTTCATCTTAATTGAACCGAATCAAAACGAAAGTATTTAGGGTTTTTATTTATTTTCAATTGTTAAATCAATGTTAAAGACAATAGTGTGGGGAAGTATTTTTTAAGTGTGTTTTTTCAATCAAAATATATTTTAATTTATTAATATCTATTATCTTAAGAATAAAATGACATGGGTCACAATCCACCCTAACATAATGCTACAATTTAACATTTGAATCATGTTACGTACACATTATTGTTTATATCATTTTTGACATTGTGTCACGTGGAGATACATGATTGGACAATCTTTATTTATTTATTCATTTTTAAAAAACACACTTTTCAACCCAACACTTTTTGAAATACAATGAAATGTACACAAAGATATACACCATGAAATGTATTTGAATCCATATCAAGACGCATCTGAAGGCTCTTTACAACACTAAGGGTCACACTCGACAATTTGGAAACCATGATTCCTTGCAAACAACAGCCCTCTCAAAGGGCTACAGATGTAGCTAATTGTGTGTCGAAGTTGCATACAAGTCGACAACAAGATTTTTTACAAGGCACCATAAGGAGCATTAAGCAAATTTGTGAAGAGTGATTGCAAAAATGCGAATGTGTTATATAATTCCGTGCCAAAAAATAAATAAATTAATAAATAAAAAATAAAAATTGAATCTATATCTGTTGTGTCCATTTAGCTTAGCTTTCCAAATGGGTGCAATCTTGATTAGATATTGACACAATAAATTAAGAACAAGTGAACAATTTTTTGAGCTTATGCGATGATTTCACTCATTTATTGGTTATATGATAAGGTTCCTCTCTAGTTTTGAGTTTCTTCCCTTAGTATAAGTTTTAACAAGCACGTAGGAGTTTAGTGTCATCTACCCATACTTGAAAATAAGTTGAAACTCAACATACAATCATTCCTAAAATTGAAAATAACAAACCCGGTCCAATCTATACAAGACGATCTCTTATACTTGCTTTTTTTATTTGCATGAATAGTTCTTTTCTTACAAATTAGTCTTCATCAACTTGACCGTTAAAAAGCCATATTTTTAGGTAAAAAATTATAAGCCTACTAAAAGTACAGGAAACTTTCACAGAACATTTACAAGAACAACACTCGGCCAATTTTCATAGAAGGGGGGTAAAAAAGAGAGAAAAACATGCAAACAGGATGCTACCACGATAGCATCCTCTATGAATTCCGTGAAAAATAGCCTGTATTTGAGACTTAAATCGAAAAATTATTACTCAATTGTTTTAATAAAAAAAGAAAAAGGTTTTTTCTCCACCTAAAAATCTATCTTAGCCAAGCCCTGAAAATGAAAACCTTTCGTCACGACCAATTGTATTGAAGAACCCAATGCTACTATTTTCCCAAGTAATTGAGCAATCCAGAATAAAGTTCTCTAAATTTTAATTACTCTCTCTCTCACTTCCAAGGTAAGTTTAACAATAAGAGATGTTTCCCTACGTGGAGATATTAAAAAGCCTGTATAAGTTCTACCAAATTTAGATGGTATATAAAGTAGGACTACTAACAAGTAAATTTATTAAAGTTGAGGCAAGCTCAAATCTCCGTCTCCCCAACACATTTTTTACATCTGAACACATAACCTCCTCTTCATAACAAAAGGGAAAACATCAATTCATTTTTTAACGCCTCAATACAACAAAAAACGTGCTAGGTGTACAACACTTCGTACACCTTTTTAGACAATCCTCTCACATGGAGGTAGTGGGTCCCACGACTAAAATAATCGTAGAGCCCACCCATGTGAGAAGGTTGTCAAACTAAGTATACAACATCTGTTGTACGCTTAGCATTTTTCATACAACAAACCTTACATCTTTCTCATTTTATAAAAAGAAGCGATGAGCCAATATGTCTAAAATGTATTGAGGGAACACCAAAGCGACAGCAAGTTTGGACTGCTAAATGAAGGTTTAAAATGAAAAGCAAGATTGACAAGCGTGAGTAGGAGCATGCATGTTAGGTTAGCGCCTTTTCTTGTTTAGGCTTAAATTAGATAGCCGGCTCCCATTTGCCAGCTTCTTAAGAGTGAATCTATTTCCTCTCTCTCCAGAGCAGACAAAAAACATTCATTGGCATAGCATTCACATTGATGCAAGAAATGGACTACTTGCCGCCTGGAATATGCCATTGCTGCCACTTTCCCATTTTCTTTTCTACTTCTCTATTTATATTAAAATAAAATGGTTTGGTCGAAATGTATATTGACAAATATAATTCATTATGCCATTGATGCAGTATCATCTCAACTCAGAGCCTACCCCTTCCTAGTGGGACGGGGTGATAATAGAACTATTATGTGAAGCCGCGTGAGCAAAGAAATTCTATAGCCTCCGTTCCAAGAGGGAAATAGAACACCTTGAGGAAATAATCTATTCTGGAGCTGCAAACCCATTATGTTGACTCTATCAGATAGAATAAGAACCGTATTTTTCCAAGAAATGAGTTTGCAGAGAAAATTCTTCAAACACAAGCATAATTTTATAATAAAACTAAAGGTGACACCGTTTATGATAGAGTACAAGCCGCCTCTATCATTATAGCATACGACTTCAAACACCAAATTCTGTCACTATCCCAAAGGATCATGATATCTAGTAAATGTTTTTAAGGAAGCTCGAACATTTTTCTGCACAGATTCTTAGTAAATACCAGGTATAATCCTGTAGGGAACCTTCTCACAGTATAATTTCCAATATTTTCCATATCTGCAAACAAAAAGATTCTGGTCAAAATTTCCATTACTGATGAGCTACAAGCATAACTGAGCATTATAAGAACACTTCTCATTGTTAGAAGGTTCAAAGATATTTCTGTTCGCAAAGGATACAAAAGGTCCCTGGTGTGAGTTAACTGTCCTTTTGTAATTACACTTACGGTTAAAGGTATAATAATAATAATAATAATAATAATAATAATAATAACAAAGCTAGTCACGGGAAGTAACTAAAACTTGATATAATTAAGCCCTTGCTTGGCCCATATTATTTTCAATATACATTTTTCTCTCTCATTTTCAACCACACAATTTTCAATAAAATAATATTACAAGCAAACTCAAAACTTTTCCTTATTTTTTAACCACACATTCTCCATGAAAATACTATTCCAAAATGCATTTTGGGCAAAAAAAAGGGGTTCAAACAGGCTCTAGATCATTCTAAGTTGAAGCCATTTGGATTGAAAAGTTTTAGTTGCAATTTAATCACCTGACATACTCCTATAAGATGTTTAAAAGAGAAGGATCGATTTAACTTACTTTGATCTGCAACGCTCATCGTCTCTTTTAGCTCGGTCGAAAAGAAGAATGGTGAGAAACACTACATAAAAATAAGGCAGAAACTGCAAAGACATAGAGGCAGCAAGGTCAGGATTCTTTAAGTAGTACATTTTCGGACAAAAGGAGAACAAATCAAGTATATTGTCCCATGCATCATTGCTTACATGGTTAAAAAGAGCTGGTAAAGTCCAGAAAAAGGCCGCTAATATTTCAGGGACATAATGGAAGTGACGAGATAAGCCCCACCTGTATATAAACAACAAGTAGTAAATATCTTTACATGTTCAAATTCTGCAGTGATCCTTGTAACTCTTGAACATCAACCGTTACTCATAGTATTAGACATTATATATAAGTTCAGACCAGGTAATTAAAACATAATATGATGCACTAACAGTAGAAAGGAAAAATGCAAAAAGAACCAAAAAGGTAATTTAAAATTTACATGCAAGCAGTGCATATGAAGTGAAGCTAAAAGTAGGCAAATGAATACCAGCATAACGTTTAGCATTGCCTTTAAGTATGCAGTTTCTTACTATATTTTGAAATAACAGTGAGATGTCTCTTGGCCAACAAAATATTCTACATTTCCAGATGAAGTCATAAAATTCAGATAAAAGTAATTAATACTAATGACACCCTATTATGTAGTTTCTACCGTTGTTTGACAATTCCACTAAGAAAATAACTTACCATCCTGACATCAGCAGTAGACTTGATTTTGTTTCACCCGAAGTTGTTGTATATGTGGCATGAATCTATTAAAAAAAGCGAACCAATTTATTGTTAAACAACAAAAATAATGCAGAATTGATGCAACAGCCAATTTAGCATAAAGGAGGCATGAGAGCCAAGCAGCCAGCCACCAGAAGTCAATGATGCTACCATTTATACCTTTGAAGGAGCTTTCCCCCAAACCAAGGCTTTTCCATTTGTTCTGCGGAACTCTTGCCTTTGCCTGTCGCAATCATAGTTGATAAATATGCACAGAATGCCTGATACAAGAATATAGACCGCCAGCTGGAAGAAGAGAACTCATTAGAGACATTTAAATTTAATATATATGTTTAGACTATGTTAAATATCATTCTCGTTCAGTAGGTTTTG